CATTTTGTTTATGGTTGTTTTTGTTCATCATGTCATGTTTCTCGCCGTTGCTCGCATCCCGATCGTCTTCTCCAAAGTCGTTTGGCGCGTTGTCGTGCTGCAATCATGAGCTTGACAAGGTCTCATAATTCATGTCGCCCCAAGTGGAAATGTCCTCATGAACGAAGCGCAGGCACAGACCATTCTCGTGCGCCGTTTGCTCTCCTACACTCCACTGCACAGAACGACCTTCGCGCCTACCGAATGACCGCCATCAGAATCTATATCATCACAGTTCATTTAGCCTCCATTTATCCTCATTTACCCATTGGGTTGCAGGTTCAAGGAGCAGGAGGAGCTACAAGCAGACACGCTGTCTAGACGCTGGGCTCAGCAACTCCTCCACCCAATCAGCCTCTAGGTTCACAGATGCCGTCACTTGAACTCGAACATCCTCCTTTGCCTACCCATCCATGATGAGTTCCACTTTTTCCTCCTCTTTGCCGCTTGTCGTTTCTCTTTGGTTGTCAACTTCTGCCTGTTACCTTTCTGCTCCTACTCGTCGTCCTTTTTCCTTCGCACTCAGTATTTGTCTCTTTTGCTATTCGCTTCTTTATGCCCATCGTATGCTTAAGTTGCACGAGTTGTCGCTGTGGTGTCCAACCGCACTTTTCATGTTACGTGCGTAACGCCTGCTACTTTATTCAACCGATTCTGCACAACCCTGCCTAATTTTCTATTTTCTTTCACTGTCCCGTTCTTCTCGTTTTACCCTTTTACTTTTAAACCTCATCCTACTTTTCGGTGTCCTCTCTCCCCTTGCCTCTGCCCTCGAGACATCCCGCGTCTGCTATATTTATCTCTCAGCCGCTTCATCCAACCTCGCATTTACCCAGCACACGTTTTTACTTGTGCAACCTGGCTTTGGATCGCCAACCGCGAGGTGCCGGCTTTGTCTTTTGGCGTATTCACTTTGGTTCTTACCCCCCTCCCATTTCCCATCGGGTGTACGTTGGGTTTTGTGCCTTGCTGCCTTTCTCCCTCTCGCAGCGATTTTTGTTCCCGCGCCGCTGGTTCGTCGAAATCGCAACTCATCTTGAATCTCAGGCCAACTTTCTTGTCTCCTCACACACACCAAGCCTGGCGTGTCTCCCTAATTTTCCGTTGGCGTATGGGTAAACCAAGTGAGCTGGCGTTATTCTCTCTAGCTGGACTGTTATTTCTTATATCATTGCTCATCTGCTCGGCGTTGGTTCTCGGTCTCACTTTGAGGAGTGAACGTATATGTGATTTGAGTGGGAGATCTCATACTCCTACTCTACAACCAGTCCAATCCCTTCCTCTATTTTGTTTCTCGTTTGGCATTTGTACCCTTTTTGAATCTTTCATTTTCAAACAAGGCTCGGTACGACACGTGACTAATATTTGATCTCCATTGCCTCTTATGTAGCGCACCATCAGACCATCGAGATAAGTTGACTGCGGCCGACAGAGGCGTCCGGGACCCGTCCGGGGAGCCTATTAACTCCGTCACGTCGCGCCCACCCACCACTAACGGTGACCGGCCTCCAATGGCCACCAACGGCCACTTTCCGGCCCGCGCATACGAGGATGAGATTGTTGTCGATACCCAATCCAACGGTTTTCATTCGTCTCCCGTCCATATCGCGTCTGACCATGAGGACCTGTCTATGGATGACGCCCGGGACCGGTCCCCCGACCCGTACCTCAAGCGGAAACGATCGTCTATCTACAACGATACCGCCGACGACAGCAGAGACCGCAGTCCCCCATCGCATGAAACCACGCACTTTGAAGCGTGGCGCCGGACGCCCAAGGCAACACAGGCAGCGGCACCTCAAGCGCCGACGACAAACGCCAAATCCATTGCCCTCGGCTACTGGCGCGACTCCAGTGTGCCTGACGTGGCTGAGCGTCATGCCGTCGTCGGTTTCATTGACACGCGCGACCGGCTGCGCACCCGGGTCATCCAGTTCACCCGTACCGGTCAGCCTGTCACATCCGAGTACCCCCTCCCGCCGGGCCCCGGTGGCAGCTGGGTGACATTCGAGCGCGTCGTCTTTGAGAAGCACCTGATTGGCCTTGACCACAATCAGGTCAAGGAGTATGTCAAAATTCGCACCGATGCGCTTGGCGCGCCTGAGACACCCGAGGAGAGTGACCTTGCCGAAAAGGCCGCTGTCAAGGAAGCGATGCGTCGCGCGGCCATGCACCCAATTCCTGACAACCAGCCGCCCGCCCAGATTGCATACGGTGTTGATCTACCAGATTATGTCGTCAACGCGAACCGTCCGGATAAGAAGCGGCGTATGGGCAGCCACTATGGTGTTTCCTTGCCATCCATGGACCCGGGCCCAAGCGCGCTCGACGCCCCGTTGCCCTCCAACGGCCACCTGGCGCAAATCGGGTCGGCCTCCGTGGCGTCCGCCATCCAGAGATCCGCCATTGACCTTCTGCCTGGCACACGGCCCACCAAGATTCTGTTGGGTTACTGGCGCGGCTCGAGCGAGGAGAAAGTCGAAGACAAGCACGCTGTCTTTGGCATCCTCGGTGCCAACGACATGTTCCGCGTCAAAGTGACGCGCGAGACACGCGACGGCCGACCGGTTCTCGGCAACTTTCCACAGGGCGCCGGCGCTCTGTGGATCCATTACGACGAGGTCGAGTTCGAAAATCACATCCGGCATCTGTCCCGCCCCGAGGTTAAGGAATACGTCCGTGTGCGTCAGCGTCAGATCGACGAAGGCGAGAAGCCTAGTGAGCGCACCGCCAACGAGGCAAATGCCGTGTACGATGCCCAGGCCCGTGTTATCAACGCAGGCGGTGCTGCGCAAAGCACCCTGGGCACCTCTGGCCGACTTGATACTATCAGTTTTGCCACCGCGGCTAACCTTAATCGGGAAGCGGGTCGCATTGTTGACCGTCACGAGCTCGCCAGGGCTGGTGGTGACCTTACTTTGGACAAGAACGGCGTGGTGCCGTCCTCCTACCCAGATGGCGTCCTGGACGGCCGCGCCCGACGCGAGAGTTCGGGTCCGGAGCTGCGCCAGAGCCGCCGCTCCACCCTTGACATCCGCGAGCCAGCGGTCCCGGCGTCGATTTCCGCTGCGCCTGGTGGCGTTGTGTCGGCCAACCCGCTTGCACCCCGTGGCGGTCGGCACTCTCTTCCCGCTGGACCCGGCCTGTCAGCGAGCCGGCCTCAGCCTGTTGGTGATAATACCGATCGCGTGGAGCGCACTAACAGTCTCGCCCGTCGTGAGATCACGCGTATGGAGAGCATCCAGCAGCGCAACGAGCAACGGGCCGGCAGCCACCACAACGGTATTCAGGCAGCGACGAACGGTGGCGGTAGTGCAGGTGGTGGTAGCAGCGCCGACGAAAGCGGCGGTAAGAGCAGTCGCCAGGCCTTCAACGAGAACATCGGCCGCCTTAACAAGGTCTGGGCGTCGCAGGAGGCGTCGCGGCTGCGCAGCACCGGCAACGAAGACACCAAGATCTACATGGGCGTCAAGTATGAGCGCAAACCGACGGGTCCCTTTAAGGGCAAGCTGGTGAGCCCCGGCACGATTCTGTCGATTGACGGCGAAGACTATGTTGAATACCGCGTTCTCACGAAGCCGACCTTTTTCTAAAAAGTGATCGTCCCGATCCATGTATCCATCTCCCTTATTTTTCCTTTAACCTTTTTTGACATCTTCTCGGTTCTCTTTTGATTCTTTGTCCAATTTTACCTTTTGTCCTTTTGGCCTTTGATCAGCTGTGGTCGCCACCCACACTATTTGATTCTTAATACCACTTCTCGAGACCGATGTTTCTTTTGTCTTTTTCGTCCTTTCGTCCTTTTGTTATTTTGTACATTTGTCGTTTCTTTCTTTCTATTACCCATTTGATTTGCAATGTCTGGAATTTTGGCACTTCATAGCACTGCTTTTGTTACTTGGCCCTGCTCATTGTTTCCGTATGTTTATTTTGCATCTCTACTATTATACCCTATCACTCTATATATACCATCGGTGGACTAGGGAGGAAAGGTAAATATGTGAGGGTGCTGTCTGATATTTGAGGATCCTTGGTTGGTGGCTTGAGTTGATCCACTCTTGGGCTTGTTGGCTTCTTGTTCCGCGTCTGTGAGCGACTGATTTACTCTTTACTTCTTCTGAAAGCTGCAACAGTGTCATTCTAGCATTCTTATTCATCCGTAGCATTTGTTATTCTATCATATTTACTTGCGCGAACAAAGCGTTCCTGGTACGTAAGTCACTAGACCTCTTTTTATCCAAAAAAAAAAAAAAATTAAAAAAATTTGGATGTTGCTGTTCTTGTGATGGCAACTTTGGAATGTACGAGCGTGACCAGAAAACAGAAAAGACAAGCAGCTTGTACGGCGAAGTGCGACTTGCCCGTGTGAGTATGATTTTCTACGACGCATTGTTGTTCCTTGGGTCGCGGCTGTGGCTTTTTTCAGCGCCTGTGGTTGGTTGGTTTAGTTGACAACTCTAGCCTGCCGTGATACACGAGAGCCACATCCAGTAAAACTGCGTTCGTCAAAACGCACCACCTTATTTACCAAACCCGAATTCAGAAGTTACACTGGGTAAATTCGAAATCCCAGGGCGGTCTACGGTGTGTTTGCATGCGTGCAGGATATTTTAACCTTCTTCCACTTGCTGGCCTCGTGAAGGGGAACCAGAAGTAGCACGTGACCAGTCACGACTTCCACTTTAATGTTCCCTTGTAAAAAGTGGGTACTTGGCATGCTCCAAATTTTCCCCTGCGATCGTGTGTTTTTTCTCGAACCGACCGATTGTCCTAACGCATCGCCACATCCTGTCGCGTGTTTGACGACCACGACGTCCCGCTACAACTTACAGACCGCTTGTCTGATCGACCGATACATATCCGGCAGCAGTGGCAATTCTGCGGTCTCCAATTGAGTCGCTAGGGGCCAGAAAGACGACGCACCCAGCACTCCTTCGATCGCGACACAGAACGGCAAAACGATGCGGCCGCAACCCACGCTGCGCGCTGCTTTCCGCAGTGCGCTCACCTCAGCCCGCGGCGCTGGCGGTTCCGGCCGGCAGGTGACAGTGTCTCCGTTCCCCCAGGCCGCTGCTCTACCGTCGCGGCTGCCGACCGTGGCAAACACCGCGGCAACACAGTGTTTCTCGACCTCGACCCGCCGGCCATCACACAACGAGCCGACTGTTTCATCCTCCTCCTCCTCTTCTTCTTCTCCCTCGACCTCGTCAGCCTCCTCCTCGACCGGTGCGGCACCCGCTCTTCCCACGTCGGTCCTCTCTCAGATTCTCTTTGCGCCCTCATCGGCACCATCACCAGTGTCGTCGTCCTCCTCCTCCTCGTCCGCAACGCCGTCGACCGCCGCCGCCGTGGCCTCCGTCACGTCCAACCACCCGTCCGTCTACGCCACCGTGCAGATCCACGGCCGGCCGTACCTTGTCACGCCGGGCGACAGCCTGCGCCTGCCGTTCAAGATGCCGGGCGTGCAGCCGGGCGACGAGCTGCTGCTGAACCGTGTGGGCGTAGTGGGCAACCGGACGGTGACGGCGGTGGCGGCGAGCACGTCGTCTACTGTGTCAGCCGGGACTGCAGAGGCCGGCCGCGACAACAACAGCAACAACAGCAGCAACGGCGAGTCGTTTGACGTGCCGTATGTGCCAGGTGCGAGTGTCAAGGCCGTGGTGCTGGGTGTGGAGACGGAGCCGCTGCGGACAATGGTGAAGAAGAAGCGGCGGACGCGGCGGAAGCGGACGGTGAAGAGCAAGCACCAGTTTACGGTGCTGCGGATCCAGGAGGTGTCTGTGGAGGCGGAGGCATAGGGAGGATCGTTCGTTTGCGGCGGATGGCATCTTGTACAGTATTTACGATAGAGTGGATGAGAATAAAAGCATCACAACCAAAGCGAACAATAATGACGAGCAGTGCGAGGAACAAACAGAAAAGGACTTGATTCGTAAGGTGATTAAACAAAAAGAGGGCGAAAAGCATCACAAACCGAAACAGCAACGATATATACAAAAAAGTGAAGTCGTTTCCAAGAAAACAACAGAACCAAAAGACAAAACAGAAAAAGAGCAAAAGTAAAAAAGTAGGAGGGATATAATGTATGGGTGCGCCCTGAAAAGAAAAGAAAAAAAGAGAAAGGCCCATAAGTGAAGCAGATGCAAAAGAACGTCAATGAAATGCAAATGGCCCGCTTTGAAACTCTCGCAGGAACGCCATTCTTTTGTGACCAAGAACCAGAAAAGAAGCCGAAACAAATTACGCAGTATATCATTCAATCCAAGGTGGGGATTTTGTGTTGTGCGCAGCTCTCTCCAGCGCGCTTTTCGCCAGCATTACTGCTGCTTCTCTTCCCGCGCAGCCACGGCTCGCCGCACGCTCGACCAGTAGGCAGCCGGCCAGGCCGAGACAGCCTCGGCATCGGTGGGCATGCGCTCGCGACAGCGGGTGACGACGCTCTGGATGATGCGGCCCAGAAGCTCCTCGGAGATGGGCATGCACTCGGCGCCGCCGCCGATGCTCATGTATTGGGCCTCGGGGAACAGGAAGGTATCCATGGGCGACAGCAGTTCGTCGCAGGTCGGGCGCAGCTGCTGCTCGCGGTTGAGGCAGCGCTTCATCGTGTTGATCAGGCTCGGCGGCACCGGCGTGCCGCCCATACCGCGCGCCGGGAAGTCGATGGTGTGCGTCCACGTGATGATAGCCTGGCAGCGGGCCATCTGGTTCTGGATGTGGCCAAACGGCGGCAGACCGTACACCATTTGGTAGAGGATGCAGCCCAGGCTCCACACGTCGCTGGGCTTGCCGAGCTTCACAAGCTTGGTGGCGCTCTTGGGGGCGCCCAAGAAGCCGCCCACGCCGGGCCGGCCGCCGGCGCCGTGGTGGTTCGCTGTGAAGGCGTACTGCTGGGCGTCCATCAGCGACTCGGGCGACATGTAGCTGGGCGTGCCGACCTGCGTCTCGCGGTGCACATTGACCGTCATCTCCGTCTGGATGGCGTTGGCAATGCCAAAGTCGATCAGCTTGAGGCGGCCCTGGACGAGCACAAAGTTGGCCGGCTTCAGGTCAGAGTGCACAATGTCGTGCACATGGACGGCCTGCAGGCACTCCAGCATCTCCTTCCAGTAGAAGCGCACGAACACGGGGTCCATCTTGGCGCTCTCGGGGTTTTGGCGCAGCCGCAGAAGTGAGTTGAGGTCCATCTCACCAAGCTCCATAAGCTACGCACGTGGAAAGTTAGTCGGTGTACGAGGGCATGGGAAGAACGTTGACACGGGGGAAAGGCTGCTCACCAAACTCAGCATCTGCTTCTCCTTGTTCATCTCAAAGTCAAACAGCTGAATCACACGGTCCACGCCCGACAGCTTTTTCAGGAGGTCGATCTCGCCCATGAAGCCACGGATTGTCGACTCGTCGGCATTTTCGAGCGACACGCGCTTCATGGCAAACATCTTGCCGTTCTCGGCCGTCACTTTGTAGACCTTTCCGCTGCCGCCGCGGCCCACGCAGTCTACGCGCTGGTACGAGCGGCCGTTGACCTTGAGCAGGATCCGCGGCTTCTTGCCAGCCTGAGCCGTAGCCGCAGCGCCAGCCGGGGCGCCTGTTGCCGTCTCGAGCACGGACATCTTTGGTGGTGGCGGTGGCGGTGCGGACCGGTGCGGCGTGTTGCGGCTGATTGTCGAGAGAACCTTGCGCTCGGGTGACACGACAGGTGGTGCGGCGGCGCTGGTCGGCTTAGCGGCAGACACAGACGGCAGCTTCACGTCGGCCACGGCCGGCTGCAGAGCTGCGCGCAGGGGGCGGATCTGGTTCACGTTGTACTCCTTGTCGCCAAGGCCGGCAATACCGGACACAACCAGAGGCTTGACCGAGCGGCCCAGGTAGGCGAGGTCGTTTTCTTGGTCGTGCGCAGACGGCAAGTTGGGCCGATTCGACGACACAGGCGGAGGTGGTGGTGGTGCTGCCTTGGGTGGTGGTGCTGCCGCAACGTCCTCGGCACGGTATGATCGCCGGCGCAAAAGGTCAAGGTCTGGCTGCTCCGGCTCTTGCTGCGGAGCAGGTGCCTCGTGTTGCTGCGCAGGCTCGTATTGCATCATCTCCGGTTGCTGCTGCTGCTGCAGATCGACGTTTGACGCGTGGCTGCGAAGACTGCTTGCACGCTGGGCAGACGATGTCCTGCCACTCACAGGGCTGCCCGTTGCAGCACGATCGCCTCGCGCATAAGGATCAAAGTACGGCGACCGGGAGCCGCTGCCGCTGTGCGCGCCTTGGCTGCTGTACATGGCGTTTGCCTCGCTCTCTTGGCTCGACATGAGCAGGCCGCCCGCGTCGCCGTCATGGTGTGGCTGCAGCATGTCCTCAGGACTGTGGCCCTCGCCCTCCTCGTCGCTCGTCCGTCTCCGGCCCCGCCGCGCAGGGCCACTCAGGAATCCACCGCCCAGGGATTTGCCCACACGCTTGACACGCATGGAGCTCTGGAGGGCCTGCTGGGGATCGATGTCGCGGCTGCCACTGCGAGCCGTTGTGCCGGCCGACGAACCACTGCCGCCCGCGTACGCCCGCAGGGCGCTTCCCATCTGTTGCTGATGCTGCGATGACGGACGCCCGACGGTAGATGGAGGCTCCTCATGGGACGGCGCGGCCTGCTCCGCGTCGCTGTGGTGCCCAGCAGCCGACTCGGTACGGCGCGTGGTCCGGAGTGCCGACGATGACGACGACGTAGAAAGACGCGTGGCACGGCTGGCGCTCCGGCCGCCTGACGAGCCGACGGCGATCTGCACACGACGAACGGCCGATGCAGGTGTGTTGATGGTCTCAGCAGGCGCGGAAGACGGTGCTGCAGTCGACATGACGGCATCGATTGACGAGACAGCCGCAGCTGCAGGAGGCAACTCAGCGCCCCTCTCCTCAGCCGCGGCGGCGGTTCCGCGTCGCGTTGCGTGTTTGGATGCCGACAGCGACCGACGGATGGGCGGCTGGACAGGGCCCATGCCGCCGGCAGGCGTCGTGGTACTCAGACGGACGACGCGCTTGCGCGGTGCAGGACTGCTGTTGCCGCTCAGGAGTGCGGGCGGCGAGGTCGGCCGTGATGCAGACGAGGGAACGCCGCCCGATGCCTGGACACTGCCAGCACGAACATGGCGTCTTGTCTGCCGCACGCCTGGACGGTCGTTCTGTGACGGGAGCTGGCTGCTGCCGTCTGTTTCGGCGCCTGCGGCAGACGAAGTTGAACGGTTCAGGGCACTCCTTCGCCGTGTCGCCATACCGGTGCCTGTTGACGACGCTGCCGCTGCCGCCGCCGCCGCTTCTTGTGCTGCTGCCGCTGCCGCTGCTGCAGCCGTGCCTTCAGGAGCCGATGCCCCGTCACTCAGAAGCGCCTTGGTGAGGGCGCTCAGCTTCATGGGAATTGGCATCTCGTCGTCCGAGCTGTCGTGCAGTGCCGCATACTGCTGCTGCGAGTCGGATGCCGCTGTTGCAGGGCCGGCGGCCGCCGCGTTCGAGGTCCGTTTCGAGGCCGTACCCGATGCGGCACCGCTCATCTGCGAGCGCGACGGTGGGCGCCGCAAGGCCTGGCGAGCCGATGTCCGGCGGCCCATCGAGGTGAACTGGCTCCCCTGGCCGGCGGGTGTGGGCGACACCGTGGCCATTGTGGTGTTGGTGAGTCGTTGGGGATGTCAATACGCGTGGCTATGATGATATGCTCGCGATGTCGTTTTGGTGGCGGATGCAATGCTGAATCTCAGTCGTTGGGAAGGGCGTCAAGGGTGCCTATGGTAGTACCGTTTGAAAGGCAAATGGCAACGGTGCGAGAATCGATATTGATATAGAGGTGCTGGTCGAGGTTACGCGAACGATTTCGTCGAAAAGAAAATCGAAAAGAGGCGAAAACAACGAAACGCAAAAAACAAAGGTAGGAATGAGGCAGCCAGGGATTGGCAATAATGTGTTTCATGAACGAGGCGCAGAACAAGAGAAAAGAAAGAAAAGGGAAAAGGGAACAGAGGATCGTACGGGAGCCTACCCAAGCATGTAATTGTTATTGTGCATGGCGCCCTGGCATCCTGGTTCGGGTGGCATCGTGCACTTGTTTCGATTGAGAGCTTCTGTTTTGGGGGGGACGGCTCCATAATGGGGCCCAGTATTATTTTGGTAGATGGGTCCAGCCAATCAGCGCGTCGGCTTCGTTGCCGTGAGCAACCAGGCGTCTCCACTTTGGCAAACGGCATGGCAAGTACCAATTTCTGTCCTTAGTCAGATTTATGCAAAATGCGCCACGTGACTGAGTAGATAAGAAAAAGTGCCTGAATTTTCACGAGTCAAGTCGGAGTTGCTTTTCGGTGAGAAGTGAGACTGGGGCGACCAATGACTGTCCCTGTGTACATCGTTCTCTACGTCGTACTTGTGCATCCATTTCACGTTGAGCCACGCGTTGCTTTCCACTTTTTGAATTTTTGTTTTCTAGCAGATTGAACCCCAGATGTACCCATGAAGCAAGGCTGCCGCAGCCATCTTCTTTTCCACCGAATTAGAATGCCGTCAAAGCGCCAGTATTTTCCTTCCCAGATCCAGTTGCAAATGGCAGAAGCCCCTCTACACAAGACAGAGAGAGCAGTCCGCCAGGTTTCCGTGTGGGGGTTTGGTGAAAGAAAACGCGCCAGTGCCCCGTCGGCTCGTGTATTCGGAAAAATGGGTGTGCGGTGGCCGTGCTCGAGATTCCTCGTTCGAATGCATGGACGAGTGTATTGGTCGTTGTCGGTACATTCGGCTGGAGCGAACTTGACGCTTAGCAGTTCTCGAAAGAGAGCGCAACGCTTAGTCGAACAGACCGAAGCCCATGTCGTCGTCAGACTCCTCCTTCTCCTCCTCCTTGGCCTCCTCGGCCGGGGCGTCGGCGGCAGCAGCGCCGCCAGCGGCAGCACCGCCCGAGGCAGCGGCAGCGGCACCGCCCGACGGGACGGACGCCAGCTTGGAGCTGCCCTCAGAGATCAGCTCGTTGATGTCCTTGTCCTTGAGCTCCGACAGGAGCGTGTTCAGGCGCTCCTCATCGGCCTCAATGCCGACGGACTCGAGGACGGCCTCGATGTCCTTGGCAGAGGGAGAGGCGTTGCCGCCGAGGGTAAGCAGGAGGTAAGCGGCGAGGTGCTTCATTTTGATCTGGCAAATGTTAGAAATGGCGACCCGGGACGACAAGGATGTAGGAAGAAGGATGAGGAAGAAGCGAGAGGCGCGACACATGCGATGGCGATGTTCGCAGACAGGCGATGGAACGTTCGTAGACGTACAGATGTTGTGTTGGTTGGAAAGAACACGAGATTTCAATCGATTTAACCGCAAGTTTGTGGCGGAGACTGAACCTTCTTGCTCAAAAAGTGGTGGAAGTTTGGTGATGGTTTTGCGGGATGTCAAAGAAAAGATCAAAATGCGACTAAGAAAAAATATCGAAAACTACCCTCTTTAGCTTTTGCCTGCCAAACCCCCCAGCCCACACAATCCGTTCTGGTGCACCATGCGCCGAAGCCCTAAGAGACCCACTACATCAGGTGACTAAATTTCGAGCGGTGAGCCAACTAGCCCGCATACATGCATATCATCAAGTCACGTCAAGCGCATATCATTTATGCTCAAAACGGGGCCATTAGCGACGCGGGCTGCGCCGGCCAATCACCAAGCGCAAATCGCGCCGCCTATCAAACAGTGGGACTTTTTTGGCGGTTGACAATACCAGAGTCGATTCATTTGCCCCCCAGGCCGTACACGGCCAAGCGCCTTATTTCCAACGACACCGCTGTCGCTGGCGCTTGGAGACGCAAGGCCATCCAAAAAAGAACCAGCTCAAAGTCTGCAAACGGCGAAAACGTCCAGCATTAATTAGACTCCGGACATCATTTCGTGCTCAACCATCGCAACTGGCAAAACGCTCCTTCCTCCCTTTTCAAACCGTGTGGGCGCCACCTTCCGTGTTGCCGCTATTCAGCACTTGGCGCGCCTTCCGCTTGCGTACCTTCCCTGCGCTCGTTCTCCAACGCACGTCACGGGTGCGGGTCTCCCTTTTCACGAACTTTTGCCACCGGATTCGTCTTGTCTTTACCCGACTCCGTATCGACCACAGCCTCTCGTCGTGCTGCCGGGCTCACCTGCGCACATCTGCACGACAACGACAAGACTGTATTCGAGAACCCCTTGTGGGAGAGGCCTTCAAATGTGTCGTTTTGCCTCTGTTCGGATAGACGCCTAACGGTGCTGGCAAAAGGCAAACGGTACAGGTTCACCATCCGCCCTCTCCAACCGCCGTCACGGGCAGGAAATTTCGACATAGCAGGGAAGACACCCGACTGCTCCTTGTATTGGTTCACCTTTTCCAACATGGTACGTCACCTTTGTTACAGCTCATATCGTGGACGGCGTGATAGCAATGCCTGAATGACTAACAGCATGCTCGCATCCAGATTAGCGATCTCCTCGCCCAGATATCCGGCGAGGGCGGCTCGAAGCCCTCAACGCCGGCGCTGCCGCCGAAACGAAAGGCCAATGCGGACGTGCCAAACGGCCAGGCCAACAAACTGCCACGGACGGCCACGACGGTGACGCCCGCTGGCGGCCGGGATCGAAGCGGAGGACCGAACGGATATACGGGGACAGCACGCACCTCGACTCTCGAATCCCGGCCCAGCCTATCGAGTCGACCACTACCGAGCACGAGTGCTTCGAAACCGGCCCCGGCAGCACAGCGCCCTGGCGCCTCAGCATCTGCATCGGCTTCGTCACATCGACCGACCTTGCCAAACAGCGGCAGCCGCAGTGGACCGACCAGCAACAGCGCAAGCAATGGAGACACCACGGGACGCGCACCGGCAGCGTCCGCGAATAAGGCACCGAAACGGGGCTCGTACCAGGAAATCATGGAGCGGGCCAAGGCGGCACAGTCGGCCATGGGCCAGATGGGCAAGATCCAGCACAAGCCGCTGGAAAAGATGCCCACCAAACGCGAGCGGATGATGACCAAGGCGGAGGAGACGTCGCGTGCAAGTGCCGGTGTGACGAAGCGCGGTTCTGGCCTGCCGCCCCTCGGAGGTGGCCGACCACGGCCGGGCGGCCGGCTACCACCACTGGGCAGCAAGGCACCGGCTGCAGCAGGACCAAGTCGAGGCAATGGTCTTCCTCCTCTGGGCAAGGCCGGAACAGGAGCAGGAACAGGCAGTGTTGGATCTGCCTCGGGCGCGGGCCGGCGAAAAACCGGTGCGGCCGCTGCTGCCACCAAGGAAGAAGAGAAGCGACCCAAAAAGGCCGCCACAGCGACAACGGGCTACCAGGGCACCGCCCGGCCACGACCAACGTCCTCCTCGTCCGCCACCGGCCCCGCTGGTCGAGATGGTGCTGGTTCTGGTGCTGGCCGGTCGGGCGGCAGCGACTCACGCCACCGCGGTGCACCGCGCATGCCATTTGGCAATCCCCGGCGGTCGCGGTACGACGACGACGACGACGACGACGAGATGGACGACTTCATCGAGTACGACGATGACGAGGACGAAGAGCAGACCGTGGGCGGGCGCTACGGCGGCTATGGCGGTGCTGGTGGCCGCGGCCGTGGCCGCTACGATGATAGCGACGAGGAAGAGGACGAGTCGGACATGGAGGCCGGGCTTTCCGACATTGACGAGGAAGAGCAGCGTGCAGAGCGGCAGGCCCGGCGCGAAGACGCCGAGCAGGAGGCATTGGAGCGGCGGCTCAAGGCAGAGAAGGAAGAGCGCAAGCGGAGACTCATGGCAGCCTCGTCTCGCCGGTAATTTGTCGACAGACACCGCCGGTTCTATTTGTTCCTGCTTGTCGCCCCATCAACCCCATCAGCCTATGACTTACTACAGCATTTTTGGGTTATTTTGGTTCAAGGTATCCTTTCCTCAGCGTTCTCTTCCCCCCTTCTTTCTGTACATGTTTTTGTCCCGCTGTCCACTTCCAAAGGAAGTCATTTACACATAGCATTGGCGAACTGGAATCAGTATTCGTAGTCTTTTAGATTTTATTTATAAACGTTCATTTCTTTTTCTAACCGATGGCCCCTCGCAACATGCCTGTCGTCTCTTGTAACTCAAAGGTATACTTGTGCCAAATCCTGCACGTGTGTAAATGCAAATCATAAAAGTACTCGCAAAAATGAATCGTCCCATGTGCCCGTTCCACCCGCCCAACCGTTTCATGACCATTTACTTGAAAGTATTATTTTCGTTTCAATTTTTTATGTTTTTTTATTCCATGCCATTTTTATGCGCTCGACTCCTCGGCATCGGCAGCAGCAGCGGCAGCATTGGCCTCGGCCTCACCCTCGTAACCTTCCGTCTTCATGTCGGTGATGCCCAGCTCCTCCTCCTCTTCAGCCGTCCGGTCGTACTCGGTCACGGTCATCTGGGCGTCGGGCTCGCGCGGGTCGTCGGCGAGGCTCTGGACGTAGGAGCTCGCCAGGGGGTCCTCGAGAACAATGGAAAAGGGTCGCTTGCCGGCAATGGCGTCGTCGAGGCCCTGGAAGAAGGCATTCCAGCGGGTGCGCTCGTCGGCAGCCAGAGAGTCGCCGCCCTCGTTCGAAACGGGCGGCGGGTGGGCCGTCACGCCGGACGCCGTCACGCCAGTGGTGGGCGTGGGCGTGGGTGCGGGTCCGTCGGCCTGGAAAATCTGGTTGTGCAGGTCGCCGCGGACCTGTGTGAGGAGGCCCTCGACCGTCGTGAACCGGCCGCCGAGCGTGCCCGGGTTGACGGACAGGTTCAGCTCGGGGCACTCGAGAGCGCAGCTCTCGCTCTTGAGAATGTCGCGGGCCAGGTCCTCGGCGAACTCGACCTTGAGGGTGATGCGGCGGCCCTTGACGGGGATGGCACCGCCAGTCTTAACGTCGTTGGACCGGTAACCGCAGCTGTCGCAGAGCGTCGACATGAGGACGACCTGCTGGAAGTGGGGAATGTCGACCATCTTCATGTGGGTGACGGCCGGGTGCATGCACGCCGGGCAGCTCGCGGGGAACGTGTAGACCTCGTTAGGGATGATTTCGTCGTTCTCGCTGAGGCGGCCCTGGCCGCCGAGGGGAATGACCCCGTCCGAACTGGACAAGCCGCCAGCCATGCCAGTAGAAGACGTGACGGTGCCGGCCGTGGCGCTGTCGCCGGCCTCGGCACCGGTGTCAACCAGGCCCAGGGCTGTGTTCTGCTCGGCTGAGCGGAGGTACTCGCGCTTCTCCCACTTGCCGACACCGTCGTGCAGGTCGGGGGCGATCCAGCTGTTGCCGGCCGGGTCGTCGAGGCTGACGCGGAAGGGGAAGGACTCACCCGCGAGCATGGCCTTGGCCTTCACAATGACCTCGTTGAGCTTCTCGTAGACCTCGGGCTGCTGCGCCTTGCGGGCGTCCTGGTCCATCTCGAGGTCCTCGACGATGCCGCTCAGCATGCCCTCGACGTTGGTCAGCTGGCCGCGGCCGGCGGGGATTTCAATGTCGAGCTCGATAAACTTGGCCACGGCGGTGTCGGACTTGACGACCTGGCGCGAAAAGTCGTCGAGGGCGGTCAGGCGCAGCTCGTAGTGGGTGCCGCGGGTCTGGACGGAGCCGGCGGCCTGGATCTCGTTGTTCTGGAAGCCGCAGTGCTCGCAGCGGAAGGACATGACAATGACCTCGCGGAAGTAGGGGATGCGGGTGAGCAGCAAGCGGGTCATGCCGTTCTCGTGGCAATTCATGCACAGCGACTCGATCTCTTCGACCACGCGGCCGTCATCGTCGGCGTCGGCATCGGCGACCTCACCATCGGGGCCGGCGGTGGGCCCGTCGACGTGGGCGACCTGGCTGCCGATCGACTCGAAGATCTGATCGGGTGTCACAATGTTTTCCTCGGCGGGAGACATGATGCGGTGCGGTGTGCAGTAGAGAGGCAGAGAGAGAGAAAGACAGCGTTGGCTCCAGGAATTTGAGATGTTTGTTTGCTGTGTTTTCTGTGTCGAGAGCAGGAAGGTGCGTGGCAGCGTTTTATAGCGGATTGTATCCTCTTTAAGCCTTGAATCACATTTATCGGTTTCGGCAGGAGCGCTCGACTCGGCTGCCTCGCAACTTTTGAAGCCTTATCGCAGACTTTTTTGGAGGGGTGTTAGTCGATAAGGCGGCGAGAATCCTTATCCAGCGCAGACTGCGGGGCGGTTTATAAGCTGCAAGGCGCGCTAGCGGTCCTGTTCCTGCGTGCACTCAGAAGCTGCCGCAGGCCTAAACGGGGAGTGACAGGCGGCCAGGCCCACCTGAGTCATCCGGAAGGTTCTAGGCGTCAGAGTAGCCGCTACGTCACTACGGAGTGCTGGAATAGGCAGAATACGCAAGAATAAACACCTATAGCGATTGACCGATGCGAATCAGACGGACTCGACGTGTGGTTCTTCACGCAACGATACAGAGATGTTCGCCGTGAGGTACGATAAAGGAACGAGGAGAGTAGACTTTGATATTGTAGGTAGATAGCAAGGCCGGTCGACTGGCACTGGATGTTGATCGCCCTCTCCCATCATGTTGTAGTATTTGTACGTAAGGACAAGTATAAAATAAATACGAATGGTCAGCTTGAATACTCGTTCATTCTAGGATATAGAGCTCACATTGCATGGTCAATATGTATAAGTGTAGGGTGCAGTTACAAGTGGCAGATTCAGTCTCTGAACTCCCTTCAGACCTTGATCTGTCGAGACACCTGAAGCTGCCCGATATTGCAGGGAATAGAGTTTGGAGATTTGTGGCTTTCACTCGACTTGGATAAAACATGTTATGCTCCAGTCAAGTGGTTCTGACAATTATATAGGCACTGATGATAAGTTACATTGATTGTACTGCACATTTAATTATTTCAACATTTTTGAAAACTCCCTTCAAGCTCAACCATGACCACTTTTGTAAAACAAAATAAATAAATAAAACAAAACAAATAATTAATACGTGACAAAGTATAACATATCACGATATATACAAGAGTAAAATGTAATGTCTTTGACGTTTCCTTTACAAGTTAAGATGTTTCTAAAGGCAATAAATTTGCAAAGATGTATTCCAATACCGCGGCGGGAGCATCCTGTGTCTTGGCCTTGTAGCTTCACCAACGACTAACTATATGGGGTGTAGTTACTCGCTGTCGTCGAAGACGGGCCGGCCCTGCGCTGTAAACGCGTACAGCGTGTCGAACGTGCACATCCCAGCATGTACAGCTTGCCTCGCAGCTTTGGCCGATAATATCGCTGCCTAGAAACTCCTGAAATCATAGAATGATTGTTCCAGCCTCAAATTCTTTCTCCTCCCCCCGTCTGCAGTCCGCACATAAACAGCAAACAGTCGTCATACCGCTCCGCCCGACAGTTGCAGCCATGGAGAGAAAGTATTCCTCGCCCATGGCGCCCATCTTCATAGTGTCGGCGCCCCCCCAGCCCCGGCTTCTCGTATACGCTCCGGTCGATGATCCCCGTTGGCGGCGGCTTGGGCAGCAGTGCCAGCTTCTGCATTTGCCTGAGCACGGCGCTGCTGCAGCAGATGCGCGCCTTGGCCGGCCCGCATCCCGACCAGCCCGCCCACGAGGCCGAACACCAAATCAAGCGCATCAACTGCTGGGCGTTTGTGGGCGAGCTCTGCCTCCACGGGGAGCCCAGTGGTGTCAACAACACAGTCTCGTCCCGCGGCAGAGCCGTGCGGTTCTGCAAACACCCCACGGAGCCGCCCTCCGTCGCGCCGCTCGCCCACTTCCCAAAGCTGCGACTGCTCCTTGTCGACACCAAACAGCCGCGCTCCACCGCCGCACAGGTCGACGCGGTGCGGCAGATGAAAGCCGTGCGCGGCCGACCGTCGTCGAGCCCGCCTTGGACGCCATCGGCCAGCTCACCACGTCGGTCCGGCGTCAAAGAGGACGCGGTGCGCGGGTTCGAGCGGGCGTGCGTGGCGGAAGGGTTTGCGACGTACGAGGCCATTTTAGGCGCCAACGGCGTGGGTGTGCTTTGGCCTGCTGTGTTTGGCAGCGGTCCTGATGGGAAAAAGGGCGAAGAGATTGATCAGGAGCGGTTCGAGAGCGCCGTCCGCGCGCGCGGCATCGAGGAGCTGGTCGGCGTGGGCGCGCGGGAAGACCGGCAAGGACGGAAATTTTGGATGTGACCTCGTAGCACGATGCAGGTTTGACGACGTCCCATGGTATTCTGTGGACAGGAATGGGGATGTGGACGGACTATATAGAACGCCTTTCCGGAAGCCATGCTAAACCCACGTACGTACTGATGTAGGCCAATTTCTGGGTGGATGAAAAAAAGAGAAATAATTGCGGCACACCACCAGACATATCGACCTTCATTTCCTGCGAAAATCGTCGAAACTCAAATTCAAGCCACCCAATCCGCTGCTGTCCGAGCTCCGGCTTTTGTCGAGGAGGGCCAAAAGCCCGGCCTTTCTGTTCTTGGCCCGCTTTTTGCTGCTGGCATTGGATGATGCCTTGGCTGGTGCTGGAGGAACGATTGCTGTTGACGCCGTGCTTGGTTTCGGCGTTCCTGACGGTGGTGTCGCAGTCTGGGCAGCAGCCGGTGCCGGCTTGATGTCGTCTTTGGCCCTGGCTGCAGCTGCGGGCTTGCGCTCTGTTTGCTTTGTCTGCTTTCGTTGCTTCGAGAGTGGTGGTGGTGGTGGTGGCAGGACAATTCGTGTCTCGCGGCGGCAGAGACCGCATTTGTACACCTTTGTAATGCCCGCATGGGGCTCGGCTGCCGGACCATGGGGTTTCTTGTTCTTGTCCGACTCAGACGCAGCCGTGTCGGTCTTTTCGTCCCGCTTCCGTTTCCGTCTATGCTTTTGCGAGGACCGCCCGGACTGGATCGTCAGTGTCGTGTTGTCGCTGCCGGGCATCAGGACGAGGCCACAGCTCGTGCAAACAAGCTGGCGCTGAACATCCGTCTGGGGAAGCGCCGCGACAGGTACAGGCGGGCCCGTCGCTGCCTGTCCTTGCGCCTGGGATTGTGCTTGTGCGGTCAGGGCCAAGTCGATTCGACGGCGCATCAGATGGGCGGATGTGTGCGGCGCCGCCTGTCGCATCAAATACGCCGCGTCTGTGAGGAAACGCAGCTGTGCAGATGTAGCAGCCGCCATTTTGGTGTGTGAAGGTGTTGTGCGACAGTCATTTGGAGTGCGTTCGCGGTTGTCGATGAGGTGCGGATGGAATAGTAGAGAGAGGCTGCGAGGCTGATGCCGAATCCTAATGAGCTTTTATTCTGGCGGCAGAATGCACACTAAGTCTCACCGCTAAGAATTTGTTCAGAATTGTCGGTACTGAACTAACGCTGCCAAACGACACCAAACAGGGGCGGGAGTGCTCTGCTGTAATTCGAAAGTGGACACTAACCGTCAGCGAATGTAGTGCACAGAACTTATTCTTATTCATGTAAAGCACTTTCGAGTTGAGCTATTGGCTACAAAACATGTATATAATTTGAAAAGATGCACTTTGGTTCTGCAGAAGTTAATAAAATTTAACAATTTGTACAAATAAATAACGCTACCCAATATTATGAAAATGAAAATACCCTCCAAACTGTACAAAGCTGGAACATCTCTTTTATACAAAAGAAATAAAAAACCTCTTACATCTACCACACCATTCTCACGCCATGGCCTCCTCCAGCTCGGCCATGCGCTTCTCCGCATCAGGCACCTGCCGCAGCAGCAGGTCCAGGTCGTCCTTCTCGTCCTCCAGGCGCAGGCGGCGCTCTGCGTCAAGGCGCGTGAAAATGTACTTGCCCTGGCCGTCAAACTGCAGAATGTGGTTGTGGTACTGCCACAGACTGCGGCGGTGGCTGACGGTCATGAGCGTGACGCCCATGGCCTTGGCCTGCTCGTACATGGTCTTTTCCATCTCCAGCGTGACACTGGACGTGCACTCGTCGAGGATGGCGTAGCGCGGCCGGTGGTACAGCAGCCGCGCCATGGCCACGCGCTGCTGCCAGCCAACACTCAGGACCTCGCGCCACTCGGCGACCGCGTCCCACCCGCCGTTGTCGACCTGGCTGGCGAGCAGCTCCTCGAGGCCCAGCAGCTGCAGCAGCTTCTCGAGGTCCGCGTCCGAGACGCCCTTCGACCGCATGTTGCGCAGGCTGTCCGGGTAGATGATCTGCTGACGCAGGGTGCCGCGCGGCAGGTACGGGCGCTGCGGGATGTAGAAGATGTCGGTGGGCGGCGGTCGGTGGACGGAGCCACCGTAGACGGGCCACAGGCCGCCCAGGATGCGGAACAGCGATGACTTGCCGCAACCGTTGGGGCCCACGACGAGCAGGTGGTCGCCGGCGCGCAGGCAGAACGAGAGTGCCGGGACGAGAACGTCGCCGTTGGGCGAAATGATGGGGCTGTCACAAGGTTAGCAGCGTGCAAAAAGCGTAGTACCAAAATAACAAAGAAAACACGTTGGGAGACAAGAACGTACACATCCTTAAACTCAATGACATCGCTCTCGACGACCGTGCCGCGGCCCTTGAGGACGGCGGCATGGTCATCGGTGTTGTCGTTACTCGACACCAGGTTCTTCTCAAAGTGGCCGTCATGCACGTCCTTCATGACGTCGAGAAGGGTAGAGACGCGCGACGTGTAGCCTGCCAGCTCCATGATCTCGCGGTACGAGAACATGATGCGCCCAAAGGCATCAGACGCCGACAGCAGCATGCGGCGGTTCGTCACAAAGCTCTCGGTGCGGTCGGCCATATGCCGCACAGCCGACGCCATCCCTGCCTTGGCCGCGGCGCTGTTGCCTCCTGCGGCCGCGGCGAGGGGAGCGCCGCCGACGCCCGGGATGGGCACGAACACAGGCATGCTGCAGAGCAGCAGGCCGAGGGCGCCCCAGAGGTACTTGATGACATAGTCCTCCATGAAGCCGTGGTAGAAGCGCTGACGCAGGATGTAGTTGACGTGCTTGATCAGCGTAAAGTAGCCCTTGTCCAGGGTGTCCTTTTCGGCCGAGTGGCCCGCGTACAGCGCGACCTCCTCGCTGTGGTCGATGAGGCGCGAGTGCTGGAAGCGGAACTCGCCCTCGAGACGCGCCTCGTCGGCGACGTACTTGCCAAATGGCGGCGTCAGAGCGCGCATGGCAATGGCCGACAGCTGCACGAGCAGCGACATGAACACGACGCCCTCGCCGCCGACGCTCTTGGACAGCGAGTATGTATATATTGTCTAGGAAATCAGGCGTTAATCTTCTGGCGTATCTCGGTGTTACGGTGACAGTGAACGTAGAATGGGGCTGCACGGCTTACCATGTCGAGAATCGGCTTGGCCAGGTTGCTGTAGAGCTCTGCCAGGCTGTTGGAGAACTTGGCAACGTCGACCGCAATCAGCTGGTCCGGGTTCTTGATGCGGTCGTCCAGCGCAGACAGGCCGTAAAAGGTCATGTTGGACAGGTAGCGCTCGTGGATGAAGTGCGTCAGGCGCGTGCGGTAGCGCAGGGCCAGCTCGGCCTGGTGGTAGGCCAGCATGGAGTTGGTAAATGTGGCCGGCACGGCGATGAGCATCCACCACACGATGCGCTTTAGGAACTGCTTTCCCTGGCCGCGTACAAGACTCTTGACCAGGGCACCGTCCATGGCAGCGATCTGCAGACTAAGCAGTGTGCGCACGACCAGGAACACGCTGTGGCTGACGAGCAGGCGGGCCTCCTTGGAGCGCCACCCGGGCACGACGATGCGCAGCAGGCGGAAGAGGGAGCGGAAGAAGGCGCGGTCGAGCTCGACCTTTTTGCGCTTGGGGGCACTGCCGGGCTCGCCGGAGGTTGCGGACGAGTCGACCAGCCCGGACGCATGGTCCTTCTTCTCGGCCTCGCCGGCCGCGCGCTGCTCTGCAATGGCGTTCCGCACGCGGTTCACGAGTGCGAGGAACAGCGTCACATAGACGGCGCGCGAGATGCGTGTGCGGTTGTTGAGGTAGCCACGGGTCAACGACGACAGAAGACTCCGCAGGGTTCGACGCTCGTGGTCACCCAGCAAGGGCGCCAGCTTGGACTGGGCAGCCATGATGGGCGGCGCCGGACGAGGATGTCGTTCCAGATGGGTGGCCACACGTTGGATTGAGAGACTCGAAGGATCAAGCGGATTCGAATTCGGAGGGAGTTTGAAGTCGTCCAAACACAAGTATCACGAGAATCGTGACAATGGATCCAGGGACTTTGCAGCGATGGGTGGGCTGCAGAGCGGTTGTCGTAAAAAAGCGCCAAGGCTCTTTACGAGCGGGTATGCATGTCGGTTCTACCGAATTGTCGTCGATGTTGAAGAGAGGTAGACTGTTGTCGTTGGAAGATACAGGAGTAGATGACAAGTCACTATAGAGAAATTCAGGAGATAGTCTGGAATGTAATATGGAGAAAATGGGAAGGTGAGGTTGGAGCATTGGGGGGGAGGAGAGAAAGGGCGACCAAGCTCGTGCTTGTGTTCTTTCTTCCTTTGGGGTTGGTGGAGTTTACCCAGAGTCGCTCTGTCAGGCGTTCCTTTTTGGCCTGTGACTTCCCTTGGCGGAATAACTGGCGTTTGCGTCACCAGAAGCGCAAATCCGCCCCCGGAATGCCCCCAAGAAACTCCCAAAGCCAGACGGCACCTGCGCAGAAGCGGGTCTCTGGCGCCCCAGGTTTCTTCCTGCCAATTGGCGCTGTTCCCAAACGAGAGCAAAAAGTGGAAATTTGTGGGTCACTACTTCCATTCACTTTTGCATGTGAGTGTGGCTGTGCTGTGGCTAGTGAGTTTTATGGGCCTAGACGACGTCTCGGATGAGCCCAAAGAAGCCCAATAGCACTTGAAGCACAGCGCGTTAAACACGCTATTAAGTATCCCTACTGATTTTAGCTTCCGCCCACATTGGCGAGCTCCCAACGCACTCACTCCGCCGTCTCCCTCATACACACCAACACCCACGGCCCCCATGGCTGCACGGCTTGTTGCACGCCTTTGGCTGGCGTTGCTGGTCGGAGCTGTCTTTGTTGCGGCCAATACCGAAAAGGCCATCTTTGTGGCCGGCGACGGCCAGAGTCGACGACCTGGCGGTGGTGATGCTGATCGCATCGCGCTGAGCGGCATTGCCTCCTCTCTCCCCCGGCTGACGCCCGACCGCAATGCCTGGCGGACCAGCCTGCCCGCTGCGTTCCCCTGGGCCGACAACTTCCCGACCAACGGCACGACATGGCTCCTGCTCGACGAGCTGACTGGGGGCCAGCGATACGAGCTTCGCGTCTGCTGGGCGGCGTCTGTGAGTTTTGCCATGGGGCTTGCCGATTTGTTGACCCTCTTTCTAACGGACACTGCTGTCAGCAACCTACCGACTTTTCCGTCGACGTGTTTGATCTGGCGACTGTCGCGGCAACACCGGCGCTCTCTGCGTCGCTGGCCTCGTTTGTCGAGAGAGGCCCCGGGACGACAGCTACGCCATCCACGCCATCCACAACCATGACCACTGCCACTGCCTCCCTGCTGCGCATCGTTGCTGCAGCCGACTTTGTTGCGGCCGACCGCGCTGCCATGCACCCGGACCGTGTGCCGCCGGTGCTCACAGACATCATTCTCGATCCGTACCTGTTCAATGCGGTACCGCACTCGCTGCTGCCGGTCGTGGCGGCGATTGTGGTTGTCGCGGGCGCGAGTGCGTGGCTGGCGCGGCGCGTAATTCTGCCGCAGCTGCGGGCCGTAGCCGATGGCGGTGTTGGTGCTGCTGGAGTACGTCCAACAAAAGGACGCAAAGCGCAGAAAGCGCAGAACAAGGATAGATGATACACTTCAGCGGGGCGTGACAAAGTGCGCTCATAGAGTGACTCCATACGGGTACCGCGTTCATATTTTCTGATTGTACAGGAGGTCACGCCACAAGATAGAAAATACTTCTGAGAATGGATGTGCGCTGAGTCATGACACTCCAAGCCTCAAGAGCAGTGATTTAGTAAGGTATGTACAACCTCAATGTACATGCGGAGACAATGTGTGATAAATATGAGGTGCAAAGCAAGCAATGTTGAGCAGCTATGATATATGTTGAACGTAGAATGATAATAATATAAAAAAAAAAAGAAAATTCCACAAAGAAAGCGTAAATGACAATGGCCAACTAGAATGCGAGAAGAAAAGCCTACAAGAAGAGAAGAGTAAAACACATGGGGTTTAAGAGACGGCATCGCTCCTTCCATCGCACTAGAGCACCTCCGGCATACAATTCATGACTTTGAAACGGGCACCTTATAGTCGGTATACTAGTACCGTGGTGCGCTGCTGCCTGGATAACCTCCGGGTGCGCCGCCGCCGCTTTGTCCGTACATATTTTGCTGGTGCTGCGGCGGCGGAGCCCCACCGTAGGATGGCGTCTGGCTGCTTCCACCGCCGGCGTATTGCGGCTGACCATACTGCGGAGGCTGCTGGTGTTGTTGTTGTTGCTGCTGCGGTGGCGGTGGGAAGTAGCCTGGGGCGCCGTACCCTCCACCAGCACCGCCTTGCTGGCCACCTGGTGGTCCGCCATATCCACCCTGCTGCGGCGGCGGCGGCGGAACATTGCCATAGGGAGATGGCTGCTGCTGTTGATGTTGTTGTGGCTGGTAGGGCGAGTGCTGCTGCGGCGGCTGCTGCGGCTGACCGGGTGGTGGTGGGTAGGATTGAGGTGTTTGTTGTTGTGGGTTGTACTGTTGATATTGTGAAGGAGGTGGCGGTTGGTGCTGGTGCTGCTGCTGTGGTGGTGGCTGGCCGCCGTACGGCGGGTACTGTGATGAAGGCGGCTGGCCGGTGGCCGAAGTCGGGGGAGGTGCATAGGACGGTGCGCCAGAGTTGGGTGGCTGATACGATGGTGCGCCTCCACCGCCGCCGCCGCCGCTATTGGGAGGCGGCTGGTAGGACGGCGCCCCATTGTTGGACGACGAGCCGCCGGGTGTGTACTGCGGCGTGTGGGTGGTCGCCTGATACGACGTCGGCGGTGCGGTGCCCGAGTAGGTGCCGGTCTGTCCTGCTCCCGAGTAGCCATAGCCCTGGTTCTGGCCTTGGCTTTGCGGGCCGTGGCTGCCGCCAAACATAGTGGCAACGCCGCCCATCATGGCGCCGGCTAGACCGCCCGTGTTGTTTGTGTGCGCCTGCTGGTTGCCGTGGTAGTTCTGCGGCGCGGGCTTGCTGTTGGGCGAGAAGAGGTTGGACGCGAGCTGGCCAACGAGCTTGCCGCCGAGCCCACTGCTGCCACCGCCACCTCCGCCGTGACTGCCACCGTGACTGCCGCCGCCGCTGTTGGATCCGCCCGAGTGCGTGATGCCACCGATCAGCTGGCCGAGCATATTTCCGCCGCTCCCACTGCCACCGCCGCTGCCGCCATGGGATAGTTGGCTCTGGAGCATGTTTACTGCGAAGGACTAGAGGAAGAGACGATACAGGTTAGGCAAAAGGGTACCTCATGCTGTGGGAGTACATGGCGTCGGCACAAAACTCACCCCAAGTCCGCGATCGCCGGTAGGGCCATCGACGCCCCGCGTGCCGCCCTCCTCGTTCGGCATAACCGGCTCCATGCGGCCGTCGGCGTGTCGGATCGTCTGTGAGCCGTCGGCGTGCGTAATGTACGTCGATCCGTTGCTGTCTTTGACGCCGTTGGCGCCGTTGGGCATGCCAAAGGGGTGGTCGTTGCCGGCATGGCTGGGCGTGGGCGTGCCGCCGCCCACTGGCGCGGCGTCGGTCGGCGTGTCCCATTGCGACACACCCGTCGACAACTGCACAAAGTAGTACTTTCTGCTGCTGCTGTCCCATTGCGCGATCCAGCCCGCAGGCAATGGCGGAGGGGCGAACGAGGGACCGGCGCCGCCGCCGGGGGACGCGGGGCCGCCCATGTTGATTGTGGAGGAGAGGAGGAGAGGATAAGAGGAGGCGGGGGACAGAGTTGGGTGGTGTGATTTCTGGATCGCGAGCGACGCTGCGGATTGGCGGTGACGAGAGTAGAGGAGGGAAAAGAGGAGGGACGAGAAAGAAACAAGAGAAACGCGAGAAACAAGGGCAAAGGAGAAGAGAGGCAGGAAGTGACGAGGAAGCTCCGGCGAATTGGCTCGAGAGCCCGTCAGGAGCAGGTACCACCGCCTGGTAAGACAGTGGTGAGTGGGACGATGGAGCTTATTGTTGTGGCAGAGGGGCACGCAACGCAGGCGCGATTGATGCGGGCGGGGGCAGTGACTTTCCTTTGAATTCTAGGCCAGGCTAAGGCAGGCGCGTGCCGCAGCAGACAGCCCAACACAGGAAGGAAGCGGACGGTGAACAGAGATTGGTGAGGAACGGGGACGATAGCGAAGGAAAAAGAGAACCACTGTCAATAAACTACAACACGCAAGGGAAAGAAGGAGACGGCGAAGGCGAGGAGGAGGGGGCAGGAGCTGTATCTTACCAGACAAGCCAGGAGCGACTCACGCACGGGGACGAGGTGAGAGAAGGAACGACTGGCTGTTTACAACATTCGTCTTGGCTTCCTATGCTCCGCAGCTCTTGCAGTTCGGTGCTTTGGTCTGGCCGAAACGGCGGGTCTCGTTGACGACAGGTACCTTAGCTTTCCCTGTTGGGGACACAGAAACAAAGCAATCGGACGTTATCGAGGGCAGGAGGCCGCCCCGCCACCAAGTCTTTTTTCGGCGTGGCCAGATTGTGGTCGAAAATAGACCAGAGACGACCACTGATTGGTGGCGCACAATCGCTGCGAGATACCGCCCGACCACTGTATTTTACTGGATGAGGTCTCGAGGCGACAGCACGCAAAAGCTGCGCAAAAGATGCGCAAAACGGCAGCAATGCGGCTACAATGCGACGTTGTCACGACACTGTCGCTGCTTTTGCGCATCGTCTGTCGTGACGCGCACGTCAATGGGCCATCTCAAGATGAACAACAAGCTCGCTGGAGGACGACACGAGGTGGCAGACTACCCCTACAGGCCACAGGCAAAAATGGCGTTTTTGTTAGTTGCGCTGAGAATAGCCCCAGCACAGCCGCTCGGCATTTAGCCTCTCAACGCCCGAACGGACGGTCGCAAATCCGAGGTGAGCGGTGAGAGGCACAAGTGTGCTGCTTGGGCGCGTGGAACGTTGTTGAGCGTGGAAACATCGACGAGTTTAGTCGTCAGTCAATTGCTGTGCAAATGCGAGAGCAAGCCTCGCGGCCTAAATGTGAACTAAACATCGCTGCAGGTGGATGCCATCTTCTTCTCCTTTGCTTTTTTCTTTCCTTTCTTTCCGCTCTTACTCCGACTTCGTGCCGGATACATCAGTTGACTCAGCGACGTCGTCGCCAACGACGACAGTGGTCGTCGTTGCCTCCTCCTTTGTCAGGCCCTTGCGAATGGCCAGGACGCTGTCCACAATGACGGCGTCGATGCCTTCTTTGACTTGGCGCTGGTTCTGTCAGTATGGCGTCGGGCACCAAAACAATAAACGTAAAAGGGGAATACGAGGCACGCGGGGCAGATACGAACCTCTACCATCTCGGGCTGGTTGTTCACGGCGCCGTAGCTGACGCAGACGAGCCCGTTCTGCTTGACCACGCGCACCAGCCGGGGGCTGATGACGAACGGGTCCGCGAGGCTGACGAGGCCCAGAAGCTTCCAGCGCCGCGTAAACCGGATGGCCTCCTGCAGGCTGCTTGCGCGAATGTCGCCCACGGGCGCGCCGCCTGCGTCGGTCAGAAACAGGATCGGGAAGTTGGGCTGCTTGGACGACAGGCAGAGACAAATGTCGGGGTTGAACGACGAAAAGATAATGTCGCGGCCGTTGGCCAAGTCGTAGACCGTCTTCAGGACCGTGTCGCAAAAGGTGTTGAGCTCGACGGCCGACGGCTCCATCCCTTGCTCCTGGGACTCGTGGAACATGGGGTACTTCATCTCAATGTTGAAGCCCACCGACGGCGGCAGCTGCGTGAACAGGTCTTCCAGCGTCGCAAACGGCGCCTGGATAAAGTTGCCGCGCGAGTTGGCTTTGAAGCCTTTGGCCTTGAAGTCGCGCGTGTGCTTCATGCGCTCGTTGAGATTGTCGCGCTTCTCCAACGAGTCATCCATCGACATCGACATGGCCCGGCGAGGCAGGCGGTACCCGTTCTTGCGATCGCCCTTGCTGTGGCTGTGAGCATCAATCACGCTGGTGTCAAAGTGTACGGTAGGGACGCCACCACCACCAGCGCCACCGCCGACGACCGCCGGTGTACCGCTGGCAGTCTCGGCCACAACAGCAGCCTGGGGCCGGGATCCAGATGCCCCGCCGGCATCTGCTGCGCCGTCCCCTTTTTTAACGCCGCCGCTGTTCTTGCTGCTGCGGTCATTTCCGCCGTTAATGTGCAGGAATTGGTCCAGCGTCAGTGTGTGCACGGGCACGTCCAGGCCGGTCTCACTGACCAAAAAGTCGTGGTAGATCACCGGCACATGGTCTTTGGTGAGTTGCACGTCAAACTCGACGTAATTGGCGCCTAGGTTGGCCGCCGCAATAAACGACGGTACGGTGTTCTCGCCGAGCTGCAGCGACCGGTTGGACGACGAGTTTTTGCCGAGGCCGCGGTGGCCAATGACCATGGGCGTCGACGACACCTTCTTCCAGTACGTCTGCTCCGATCGCACACCCATTTTGGGGTGCGTGAAGGGCGTCACCACCAAAAAGTTGAAGTTCACCTTGCCAATCACGTCGAAATCGGCCGACTGGATCGGCACAGAGACGTCCCTCTGCAGGCCCGACAGCGACGCATCCGGGTCCGGAAGCAGCGGTGCCAGGAGCGCAACGCCGCGGCCAATTCTGTTTTTCTCGTTGCCAGAGTACGTCGGGACAATGTCGAATTGGAGTCTCACGCCGCTGGGGTTGCGCGTTGTGAACACAATCGGCTCCGTCGAGATATTCTCCTGGACAGGGAGGTCAATCACCGACGGCTCGCCCGTGGCTCCCACGGCCGACACCACAACGGACAAGGCCGTGTCAAGCTGCGTCTGGTGCGCTTCGGTGAGCGGAACATCATCCAGTTTGACTGCCTCAACTGACTTGCGCATATCCATGGAGCCCAGGCTGACCAGGACCAGCGATTCGTCGGTGAGATAACGATGGCCGTACGTGCGAACGGGCTGCGGTGGCGGGGCTGCATCATGGGCCGAAGCCAGTCGCGATGCCCCATTCGACCGGCGATCGCCGAGGGACGAGTGCTTGTCCGGAGACGTGCTTAACGAGGGTGGTGCCGACGACAACGGCGCTGCCGCAGCAACAGGCGCGGGGGTGGGGTGTGAGGTTGGACCCGCGGCCGGCGGCGCTCCGTTGGATGACGTGCCGCTGGCAACTCCATCTACAGATGCCTCTGTTCCCGGTGGCGCCCGGGAGTGCTGCAGCAGGAGCCGTGCAATGTCCAGGTGGCCGCGCAGGGCCGCGTGCTCCCGAGCAGTCCAGCCGGAGGAATCGGCCTTGTCGACGTCAGCCCCTGCCTCCACGACAAGGCGAGCGACCCCGATATGGCCATCCACGGCGGCAATGTGAAGCGTTGTCCAGGCATAGGACTTTTCTGCGAGCTCCAGATCCGCCTTTTGCGTCTCGCTTCCTTTGAGGAGGATTTTGGCGCATTCGTCATGGCCAAAGCGCGCCGCGATGTGCAGGGCTGTCTCGCCGATTTCGTCTTGCCAGTTCAGGTCGACGCCCGCGTCGACAAGCATCTGCACAATTCTGAAGTGGTTGTGCTTTGTAGCAATGGCAAGCACCGCGCTGGACTTGACCATTGTTTTCCGAACCGCGCTCTTGTGCTCACTCACACCTTGCCAATCCTCGCTGTCGAGCAGGGCATTGGTAGTCAAGGGGTGGCCGCCAATCACGCTGAGGTGCAACGGCGTGTAGCCCTCATTGTCCTGCCACTCTGGCGAATCGATGCCGTTCGCCACATTGTATTGACCCCACAATTGCATGCGAGACATGAGCGTCTGGCACACGACAACAAAGCCGAACTGCGCGGCATAATGAAGAGGCATGCGCCCGAACGAGTCGCGGGCGCTGAGCGAGAGACGCTGAGCGGGGCTGAGGTTGTCCAGGAGGAACGTGAGGAGCTGAACACGCGGGTCACTGGCCTCGAGCGGCCGAGCCTCGTTTGTGGAGCTTGCGCGAGGGACGGGCATCGGAGATGTCGCTGGCGTGACGAACTGGGTGGAGTAGTGGTTGGTGTGCGACTTTAGGTTCGCCGGACTGGTTGTGTCCTGCTGCATTGTCTCAGGGGGCGTCGATTTGCTTCGGCCAATGTGGATGACAAGCCGGTGAATGCAAGTGCGCTGGTTGATATCGTCAGGCTCGTCCAGTGACGGTATGTGGCTGAGCAAGTAGCGGATGGTCTCCTTCGAGCGGACGGAAATGGCACGCTGCAGGAGGTTGAGGAGCAGGCCGTGGGATGACGCTGCTGACGTTAAAGAGGGCATCGTGGATGAGGACGAGGATGACGAATACGATCTCTCCAGCGCGGGAGCCTTGGTCTCGGCTGGAGGGCCCTCGCCCAGGTCCAGAAGATGGCTCTCGCGAAGACCAGCTTCCAGGCTCTTGACGTCGTCGGTTTGAATGGCTTGGTTCAGCTGTTCAAGGACGGCGCTGGACAAGTTCAACATTGCTTTTGTCGAAGCACGGCCGAGTGAGTGGACGGAGCGCTCCGAGCGGGCGTCGTCGACCTGGTTGGCATCACCGAGCGCCAGGAGCCAGCGATTGACCCTGGCCATAACACGCGCAATGGTTGTGTCGCGTGCAAACGGGCAGGGGTCGACCTTGGTGGCAATGTAGCGGTGCTGGGTGGTGGTGTTGGGCACCTTCTTGTCCAGCTTTTTGGTGATCTTGACGAAGCCTCGCCGGTTGATTTCGCCAA